TAAATGCTTTTAGTCATTTTGTTAGCCAAATGGCTATGTTCTTTAAAAATAAACCATACATACATGTATATATACTATACACACAGAAATGAATTATATATACATATACATATATACACAATATATACAAATAAACTATACCTACATACATGTACATTTAAGTCTGCATACATATAAGTACATATATAATATACATACATATAGAAATAAACTGTACATACATATATGTACATACATAATATCATAGAGAAATAGATCTACATATGTGTGCATAGAAACTATACATGCATATTGACTAGACCAACATATATGTATGTAGAAACTGTACATGCATATAAACTAGACCTACATATGTGTACATAGAAACCATATATGCATATTAACTAGACCTACATGTATGTACATAGAAACGGTACACGCACAAAGCTAGACATACATATGTGTATGTAGAAACTACATGCATATTAACTAGACCTACATACGTGTACATAGAAGCTGTACATGCATATTAACTAGACCTCTATACGTGTACATAGAAACTGTACCTGCATAAAGCTAGACCTACATACGTGTACATAGAAACTGTACATGCATATAAACTAGACCAACATATATGTACATAGAAACTACACATGCATATTAACTAGACCTACATATATATACATAGAAACTATACATGCATAAAACTAGACATACATACGTGTACATAGAAACTTTATATGCATATAAACTAGACCTACATATGTGTACATAGAAACTGTACATGCATATTAACTACACCTATATATATATATATACATAGAAACTATACATGCATATACACTAGACCTACATATATGTACATAGAAACTATACATGCATATTGACTAGACCTACATATATATACATAGAAACTGCACATGCATAAAGCTAGACATACATACATGTACACAGAAACTTCATATGCGTATAGAAACTGTACATACATATTAGCTAGACCAACATATGTACATAGAAACTATACATGCATATAAACTAGACCTACATACATATACATAGAAATCGTACATGCATATAAACTAGACCTACATATGTGTACATAGAAACTATACATACATATTAACTAGACCAACATGTGTGTACATTTAAACTACACATGCATATAAACTAGACCCACATATATGTGCATATAAACTATACATGCATATAAACTAGATCTACATACATGTACCGATAAATTATACATACATATAAGCTATACATACGTGTATGTACATATAAACTACGCATACATATAAACTATACCTACACATGTGTGCATATATACTATACATACCGAAATAAACTATACATGTGTATGTATGTATACATAGGTTTGTCTTTGTGTGTTTGACAGACATGATACGTGATATATGATTATATAACTTGATGCACAATATACTATACACTCATACATTGATATGTGTTCCCTGATACACTGACATATATTTGTGTATTTTACGTAATTGGTATCTGTTACTCATATACACGATATTCAATAAAAGAGTATATAATTTAGAATTACTTAATATCAGTTAGCACCCTTCAGCAAATCTCCACATCCCTTGTTTGAGAGTCCCATGCAGAATAATTTTTCCTTATAAGGGAGTCTACATGGACATTTTCAGGAACCAAGCCCCAGTGATGTTGCCTCGAGGAAACACAGAGTCCTCTGAAAGATATCTTTCTCACCGACCCCTGTTGTTCAGTTCAGACCTTACTGGGATGAACTGGGTCACGACTACACAGAACTTTCTGCAATAATGGGAGTGTTTTCTTTTTTTAATTTTTTTTCTGCCAATAAATCGGGAATGTATTAAATCTGCACCACCCAATATGGTGGCCACCAGCCAACAGGAGTAGCTCTCCAGTATTTGAAATGTGACCTCTGACCATGTGCAGCTGAATTTTTAAGGTCATTTCATGGTGATTCATTTGTAATTTAATATAAACCGCCACCTGCTACAATGGGTAAGGTGCACCTGCACACTCAAAAGTTATAGTATTAACAAGTTGCACATGGGTGTTTCTTCTTTGTGACAAGTCCCAATCCCATATGTTACTTTTTCTTTTGAGGCTCACACCAAAGGGCAAGAAAGTTACTAACATTTTGCAAAGTGAGCCCAAGGCTCAGAGAGGGGAGGTGATTTGTGCAGAGCTGTGCAGCATCGGAGAACATGGTTTGGGGCTGGAATCTGGGACCTTCCAAGCAAGGTGTGTGTGAGCTTGGGATGCCTCCTGGTGGGACGTCCCTTTTGGCAAGGGAGGTCTGAGTCACGGACAAACGGTGTCCATGTGGAACAGTGGCAGGTCCCCGTGAGTTCTTGTTGCCTAGATTAACTTTGGCAGAGAGGACACAACAGGGCATCCAGAGCCCCGCACACAGAAAATCATTCCACAATCGAGACCAGGCATGCATGGGAATTCGTGTGGCCCACCAGAATGTCCTACCAGGGAAGCAGCGGGATGACTCCCAAAGCTTAGCTGGGAAGCAGAGTAAAATTGGAAACAACAATCAAGGAATTGCCTCTTCTCTCCGGAATCAAGTAGTAAGAGCAGAAGAATGTTTCACAGTGCCGAGTACACACTCAAGATGGCGATACAGGTGTCTACAAGGCATTCCCTTTCTCTTTCCTTAATATGAAGCTGATTCGGTTTAGGGGGTCAGCTCCATCCCTGGAGAAGACACGCTTTTGTGTTCATGCCCTTCCTTTCTGTTAGGAATTATATCTGGAGGGTGTGATGTGTGGAGCTCCAGCAGCCACTTTGTGACTGTGAGGCCACAGGATGGCATTCCCCGTGTGACTTCGGTTCTTTACGTGGACGGACTGCGTGAACTTCCCATGCCTGTGTCACTGCATGAGCACCTCCTGAGGTTTGGCAGGACAAGGATGCATGAGTCTCAGGTGTCCCTGATTCCTCCTGACCACGCATGCTGACGTGACAGTAATACATCCATGGTCGCTGGAGAAGTCCAGCTGACGTTTGGGAAGGGGGTCTGACTCAGTGCGCGAGGCTGGGCTCTGGGCTACGCCAGCGCGACCATTGCCCGCTGTGGTATCCATGCTACACTTTGTGCACCCAGATAGGGGTGAGGTCCATGCACACTTGGAACCACTCCGAAGACTCCAACCCAAAACCTCCCAGGAAAGAAAGCATGCCTCCTGCATTCATTTCTTCCCAAGCAAGGCGCCGCGGCGAGATGGTGCGAAAATCCCAAGTGATTTTTCTCTCGGGCCAGAAGAAGAGATGTGGGTCTTCTATTTTGTGGCCCACAAATTACCTTTTCATACGGGGCTGCCAGCGCCGAAAGCGAACGTGCATTCTTTCCGGGGCCAGCGCCTCTCGCCTTCCCAATTTCTGCAGCATGGATCCTCCTTGCAACCATTCATCGACCCCTAACCCACTGAAGCAGCGCCTTGCAAACCCTTTCAAGTTCTGAAGCATCTGCTCATCGAGTGCTCCAAGGGGGCTGCGTCTCCGGCGATCCTTTCGATTGTAGCCATTTCCCCCCACGCCGCCGACTTCCTCCTGCTCCCAGAACATGTGTTTATAATCACTTAGAGCTCACGCTCTGTACCAGTGGCCCCACCATCTCTCCAACCCGAGCTCTTGTTCTAAATGCTCTGTCATGTCATCGACGCCGGATTTTCAATTGCATTTTTTTTTCTCCTCGAGAATTCTTGGCCGCTTTATGATCCCTCTGTCTCTCAATCTCCCTCTCTCTCTCTCTCTTTTTTCCCCTCCTTGTACATTATGCCCTTTGTCTGATGCGTGTTGGAGACTCAGACCTGTTCGCAAGAATTCCATTTTACAAAGACACAGACAGAAATAATAAAAGATGATGGTGGCTTTCTGAACGGGGGAAAAAAGAAAAAAAAGTCCAGAAGGGTTTTCAAAGATTGAGACAGGTCGTTACTCAGTTTAAAAACGCAGCTCTTTTATATGGGTCTGTTTAAAACCGTGCTGTTCTCATGAGTGCATTTAAATATTTAATAAATTTGCATTTTGAACCTTTCAGACTACTTTGCTGTTCCCTGGGATGATTTTGTTGTTGTTGTTCTTTTTTTTTCCCCCCGTCCCATCTCATGTGTTCACTTCACTCTGACCTTTGGGAATCTGTAATTAATGAATGTGGGGTCAATCACCATCAAATATCAACTGCTCTGTCCCTCGGTGCAGTTCGTTCTCAGGGTGTTATATCCCTGTTTACCCAGAATTGTTTCCTTCCAGTGAGCTCCTTGCATCGAATCAAAACGCCAGATCTCAAGGTCATTTTTCGCTGTTCTGTGCAGATTCTGTTTTCCTAGGCTACACCGTGAAATGATCTCATTCAGACTTGTATCGCCCCCAGACCTGCACAGAACACGCAGTCCAATGTCCCTTCAGACATACACCCTCTTTCTCGGGACGTCAGAAAAATCCGATCATGTGCTTATCCGAAAACGTCTGCCAGGGAGGAGGAGATTTCAAGGACGTAACTATTGTCAGTTAAACGGGAGGAAACGTGACAAACACAAGGAAAGCAGGTGTGTCCAAGGCAAGGGCGTTGGTGCTTTGGGAAGATGGTAGCAGGGAGTTGGAAAGACCCTTACCCGCCGGTCACCCTCTGGGCTGGGTTGTGTTGTGTTCTTGGGTGAATGGTATCCACCCAAAATTCATGTCCCTCTCAAACCTGTGAGTGGGGCCTTATTTGGAAGTAGGGTCTTTGCAAATGTGATGAAGTGAAGGATCTGAGATGAGCTCATCCTGGACCAAGGTGGCCCTAAATCCAAGGGCAGGTCTCCTTGTAAGAGACAGAAGAGGAGACACGGACACAGAGGAGAAGCCATGTGAGGACGGAGGCAGAGATGGGAGGGACGTGGCCACCAGCCCGGGGACACCTGAGCCCCAGAAGCGGGAAGAGGAGGAACGACCCTCCCCAAGAGCTTCAGGAGGGAGCATGACCCTGCCCCGCCGGGATCTCAGCAGCCCTGCCCCACCTGGATCTCAGTGGTCCTGCCCCACCTGGATCTCAGTGGTCCTGCCCCGCCTGGATCTCAGACGTCTGGTCTCCAGAGCTGGGAGGGGATGAATCCCTCTTGTTCTATCCCCACCCCCAGTCTGTGGTCATTTGTTACCGTGGCCCCAGGACACTCACCCAAGCTGGTTCTCCCTCTGTGCCATTCGGCCATCCTTCGAAAGGGTCCCCGTTGGGGTGACACATCCACCCCACATCCTAATTGTGAAAATACGAGGCTCCAGAGTGTGTTCTTCACCAGGAACAGGCAAAACAGAGGGGGCACCTCCCTCATTAACAGACGACTACTGTGTGTGCCTGGGAAGAAGCAGAGAGAGGGCCAGCGCCGAGGGGCCGCGCGGAGATGGGGACCTCCCCCGGGAGTGAGCGCAGAGGGAGAACATGAGCACCTCCTAATGTGGGTGGGGGCTTCCTTGGGATCCTGGGAATGTTCTGGAACGAGATAGAGGTGGTGGGCGTGGCACAAAAGGGTGAAAACGTGCTCAGTGCCAGTGACTTGATCACTTTAAAATGCTTAAAATGTTGAATTTCAGGTCCCGTCCATTTTAGCATCACAGAAGAAGACAGGAAGCAATGACAGTTTAAGAAAAGCTGACCAAATCCGCTGTGTGTTCTGTGGGTCTGCTTCCGGGTGACAGAATTTTCTGGCGTTCGAAGCACACCCTGCCCTTCTTGGTAGCCGACCTGGAATTCCGGCTTTCCCTCCTCCCTACGCAACCCGGAATACAAGCCCAAACCCGGCCACAATTGCCTCTTAGAAAGTGTGGTCGATTTAATACGTTTGGACTTCAATTTTTATTTACTTATTTTCATGCCCCAGAACGATTTATGTGGCTGCGCGGGGAAAGTTTCAAAAGGATGCCAGCGTTGGCGTCCTTTGTGCTCAAGTTTTGTTATGATTTTGGGCAAGTGATCGCAGAGGGGGGTCAGCGGACTCCGTAGACCCTCTAACCTGAAACACATTTTATTTATACTCACGTTTAACGTGTCAGGTCTGTGGTTTCCTGTAAGGACGCGCTGGCCACGTAATAACGAGATGAAATGAAGTGCAGGTCTGTAATCACAGGCTGGAATGCTGATTTTTATTTCTGCCCAATTAGGAGTCTGAGAAGTTCTTGCGGGAGTGGGGGGTGGGGGTGGTGGCCCGGCATTCATTGCTGTGCCGTTGGATGGCTCCTCAAGAAATCCAAGTTCACTAAAGGTAGAAACGAGCAACTAATTGACATCGAGCGTGTCTGGCCTGGATGACTGCAGACTTACCAGGCATTTTGCAAATTGCGCAGTCTTGCCCCAGAGTTTTGCACAACGCTCGGCCAACACGTTGCTTCTCCTGCTCGGCGTTTTCCTTGGCGCTGGTCACACAAAATGGCATTGAGCGGATTTAAGCCGTCGTCCTGTCCCATCGCCGGAAAGACACCAATCTGGGATCTAGCATTTCCTCCGTAGCATTTTATCCAAAAACACTACTGTGTTTAAGTATTTATGCTGAGTAAGGCTTGGCGGGCTCCTGGCCGTGCGTGGAACGTTGAGCATCGACCCATAAAATCCGTCTTTCTGTCTGGGTTTGAGAGGGTCCTTCTTCTTCAGGCTCCAGAGCGATTGTTATCCATGTACGATGGAAATTCGTCATATCCTGCGTGGGATTCCAGCCCCAGCCTGAAACATTGGCCAACACATGCTAGGCAATCAGTATGTCTCTAGTAAGAGTAAGTTCCTACTTTAAAGGACTCCATTATTTTCCTTTTTAAAGTACTATCTGCTTATCACAGGCACTCACTGGCTCTGGTGTCGCTTCCTCAACCTGCAGAAAAGGGAAGCGTGCAAAAATCATGCACCACCTGTGTGCGGAAGCTCCCTATCCCCCAATCTGGGACTTTGGTTCAGGGGGAGAAAGGGACCTAAAGCACGCTGTGCCCCCGGGGACGGAGCTCAGGACCAGGGGCAACGGCAAAATGCAGGGGGAGTGCGCTCAGCCTGGTTTCTGTGCGGTGATCAACGTGAGTCAGGAGGGGTTGGGTGAGTGGGGTTTTGCAGGGTGAATAGGAGTTTCCCAGGCAGCCTTGGGAAGGAGAGTTCACACAGAGGGGGCGGCACTTGCAAGTGCCCTAAGAGGATGGGTGTGGGGACCTTTAATGGGAATAGCACAGGGGATGTTAAGGGCACAGATGCTGACGGTACCGGCGAGAGAGAGGATATTGGGCAAAACGCAAGAGATTTGGTGACAGAATGAAAAGGACACGTTTCCATTTCTCCTTTTTCTTAATTTAATTTAATTTTATTATGTTATGTTAGTCACCACAGCATACATCATTAGTTTTTGATGTAGTGATCCATGATCCATTTCTCCTAACCAACCAGGTGCCCCACGAGCCAGGGCACACTTTCTTAGGGTTGTCGCTGTCTTCCTTAGTCCTTGGGGGCTTGGAAATGGACATCAGGACAGTTGGCTCCCGAGCTTTGCTTTTTGCATTCACGTACATCAGGTTCTGTGTAAATCTTAGGTGTTTTTGTTTTAAGTAGTTGAATACAATCATGCAGTTAGATATTTTGGTTGGCTCGAGGTGACTCTTCATTCCCTACTACCACCTGCGAACCCAGTGCAGATGTGGAAAACAGGACACATGGATGATAAGATAACCCTGCTGTCCCCCACCTCCAGCGCAGCGCATTCCCCCACCCACCCACCAAAGGGACCCCTACAGTCCATTCTGCTCTCCTTCCTTCCCTCTGTCTCTTTTCACTATATTGCTTTTCTGATATTTCGTTGTATCAACGTATTTTCAGAGGGTTACTCTTTTGGAACACGGCGGCCGTGCACACTTTTGTGCGTGGCTCCTGGCGGGCTCATGCAGACCGCAATGAGGTGCTCTCTTCCGAGTGCTCTGATTCGAAAATAGTGGGGGGAGGAAAGAAAAGGAAGCCAGAAAGGATTCTGGCGCTCGCGAATGTTGGAGGAAGTGATGCAAATGGGCTCCTCCGGCACCTTAAGGGGAGGAGCCTGTGGGGGGGGCCGCCATTTTGGGAAACCACCTGGTCTCCTGTTGGGGTGCGGGTGGAGAGAGCGAGACAGCATCCTTCCCAGGCCGGCAGTTGTGGTCTAGGTGCGCCCCCGGGAGAGCCCCGGCCTCACCGGTAAGTCAACCTAGCCCACTCTGGCCGGCTCACTAGGTGGTTTCAGGGACGGCATTAAGTCATTTCCTGCATTCCGTGCCCTTCCTGCCAACTGGAGTATGGCTTCAACTCTTGGGCTTCCCCCCAAGAGTTTTAAATTCTTTATGGAGGGCTTGTAAATGTTTTATTTAATTGCCCTAAACTAGGAGAATACCATAAATGTGAACTAGGAGGGATTTGAGGGCATCGTAGGGTTCTGGGGCCGCCTGGAGGGTTTATGGGGTCCAGCCCCTTCCCACAGAGGGGTCAAGTCGTCCAAGGTGGGATTCCCAGAGGAGGCTTGGTTGCTAGGGGGGTGACTTGTGTGTCAAGGGGGACGTTTTCTCTTCCAGTGCACACTCTTGGTGACCTCGGGGGTGTGCGGCAGCGTCTGCAGGGAATGCTCCGTCCGATGATGCTGTATCCTACATTCTTTGTTCTCTTGACCGCATGTTCCTCTTTTTTTAAGCTCATTGACCTCCCCCCACCCCATCCTCAGTCTTATTGAGATATAATTGACAAATAACACTTTATACTTTTAAGCTCTACCACGGGGTGATGTCATACACGTGTACTGTAAAGGGACGACCACCATAGGTGAGTTCACACTTTGTCACGTCACATACTTTTCTTTTTTTGGTGAAGGATGAATATGTGGACCATATAAGGAACTCTTACAAAATGAATTGCAAATAATAATAATAATCTAGTTAAAAAATGAGCAGAAGACCATGAATAGACATTTCTCCAAAGAAGACAGAGAGATGGCCAACAGACACATGACAAGATGTTCATCGTCACGCATCATCAGGGAAATCGCGAGTCAGAGCCACAGTAGGATATCTCCCCGCACCTGTCGGAACGGCTCAAATCAAAAAGACAAGAAACCACAGGTGCTGGCGAGGATGCAGAGAAAAGGGAGCTCTTGGGCACTGGTTAAACCGATGTCCACTGAGCCTGGCCAGGAATGCCTCGTTTTACAAGCGTTCAGAAATTCACTCCAGTTGTGCAGAATGGGTCCCCGGTATTTTCTGCAACACGTGACCCACCTCTCTTTATGCTCTCCGGTGTTTATTTTTGACAGTGTGTTTCTGTGGTTCTTAAGCAACATGGAATTCAACGCTCTGTGGGTGTCGGCCACGGTCACAGCCCAAAGCCCGCATCCCTCGCTCCTGTCAAGTCCTCAGCCAATGCAGGTAAAACCCACAAAACCTAAAATTCAGCGTTTTAACTTTTTTTAAAGTGCAGTGCTCAGGGGCCTTTGGCACCTTTCGGGTGTCTGGAGCACCCACCATCTCTGTCTGATTCCAGAACATTTCCATGCATCCACAAGGCTAACCCCATCCCCATTACCCATCACTCCGCCCATGGATGGCGCCCACTAATCTGCTTTCCGTTATGATGGATTTGCCCGTTCTGTGCATTTCCCATAAATGGAATCACAGTATTTGTCCTGGTGCATCTGCTTGTGTCCTCAAGGTCCCTGCACGAGCTCTGTTCCTGTTCACGGCTGAGCCCTATCCCATCCGTGCATGGACCCCATTGTCCGTCGGTGGACATTTGGGTTCTTTCCATCGTTGTAAGCATGTGTGTCCAAGTGTGTGTGTGAACACCCGGCTTTTGATTCTTCTGCGTGCAGACCCGGGCGTGGAAATGCTGGGTTATAGGGTCACTCTGCATATAACCTTTCTGGGACGGCCAACCAAAAACCCCTTCAGAGAGAGGAGCTCTCGGGGGAAGGAATCTGAAGAGTTAAGCCTCACGGTAGCGTTGGTGTTTGCACAATATTGTGGATGCACTAAATGCCCCCAGAGCTCTGTACTTTAAAGTGCCTCATTTTATGTTATATAAACTTAACCTCGAGTGTTTGTTTGTTTGTTTGTTTAACAAGAGAAGAATGGCACAACCTCTGGATTTCCTCATCATGTCCCAGAGCTGTCCTCCAGGAAAGGGATGGGGGCAGAGACAGGAGAGGAGGCAGGAGGGCCCCTTGGTGTGGAGGCCTTGGGATGGGGTTTGGCTGCGCGTCCTGCAACCTGGCGCTGTCCCCATGGCACGCTAAGCAAGCCCCCGGTGGCCCCCGTATGGGCACGTGCAAGTCTCTGCGTCCTGCTGAGAATAAGGGTTTTCGGTTTGCAGTGTGAGCTGTGTTGCCAGAGAGCAAGGGGGTGACGGGTTTCCTTCCCTCCTCTCTTTCTCCGTCCCTGCAAGGCGCGCTGCGGGTGGAGGCAGGGCGGCAGGGGTGGGTGCTGCGAGGCAGGGGGAGCAGGGAATCCGCTATTCCTGTTTTCTTGTAATCCCTGCTCTAAGCAGATTTAATGGCCCTGTTATTGCCGAGCAAAATTAAGTCCTTATGAACCAACTTGCAGACTGCCTTTGTGGGTCCTGGTTTTCAATAATAAGGAAAGGGGTTTGGGTCGTGTTGGGCCATCTGCTGCTGATTAGCACGTTGCCTGCGCGGGGCTGCCTCTCCAAGCTCGGGGTTCTGTTTTCATTAAACGCCTGCTCTACTGGGGCTATATTTTTTCTTTTAAATGTTCAAGCCAAATGTAGAACTCCGACTGCAAATAACCTTTAAGAGGAGACCAGAGCCCTGGACCTTCCAGATTCGCGTCCTAGAAGATCCTGTTCGTGTCGGCACGGTCGCTCTTGCTGTGGGACGGGGTGGAGGGCTGAGGCCGTATTTAAACGCTGACCCTGGCAGGTGCAACGGACCACTGGCAAGGAGCTGACTGGTACCAAGTATGTGCCCATGAGCATTAGGGAAGGGGTCCCCAAAGCCAGAGGGCTGTCGGGAGAGAAGACACATGTGGGTAGAAGGCACCAGCAGCCCAAACGCTGGCCCTCACTGTGCGTGCGCGCACGACGCCCCCCGCAGCACCGTATATACAATTCTTTATTTTTTGGAATCCTAAAATGCAAGAGCAGATATGAAGATGGCACATGGGACATGGCCATGGCACCATCGCCCACTGTCTTTGCATTTTTACCGATGAGCAAAATGTGGACCCAGGGGTTCAGCTGTAGGCTGGTGTGAGGAAGCCTTCTTGCTTCGTCCGGTGGCCTGAGAGGGAGCATGAAGCTTTGAGCCTGAAATTGCATCCGTCTGGCACGGCTGCATGGGCTGGGGTTCCGTTTGGTCACGGGGGACGGGCTTCCCCCGAACGCTGGAGACCTCCGTCGGAAACAGAGCGGCAGATCTCACATCATTGCAAAGTTCCCTAAAAAGCCATGGGAATGGCCACACAGTCGGAGATACTGTTTCTCCATCGGAGAACCCGAGAATCTGACCGTTGGGCACATCATAGGGTGGAGAAGGGAGAGTGGTTTGGCGGGGGGGACCCTCAGAGCCCGGGCCTGCCCATCCCTGAGGAAGGTCGGAGATGAGGGTCTGCAGGCCCAGAGGTTTGTCTGATTTCGGGAGTGGCGCCTGACGGTGGGGGCAGTGTGGGGAGAACGGGCGGGGACAGGAGGAAAATACATGTTTGCAGGCATGTTCCCGGGGGCTCCTCACGGCAGGTGTGCGGACACATGGTTGGAACCACCACCTCCCGGGGCGAGGGGCTCAGCTAATTTCTGCCCGGGCGCACGGATCCATCCTGGGAACCAGCCCTGGTGTATTGGATGCGCTGGTTTCCATTGAGGATGGCGTCTTTGGCCACTTCGATCAAACACATAAGTGTGCCCGGTCAGGTGTCAGGCACCTCTTCCCCTGTGGCCCCCACGTGGGATTTGAGATTCGAGGGGCTTGCCCAGGGACACAGGAATGGAGCCCAGGCAGCCTGCCCTGCAAGCTGGTATTTGCATCAGGCTTCTCTGCAGCCCCAGGCCAAGCGCACCCCTGCCTGGGGGCTCGTCTGTGCCCCCTGCTGTGGGGCTGGGAAATGAAGACCCGTGGATCCTTCTGGAAAGGGGAAGCCGGTGCCTGCAGGTGGAATCCGCCAGCCAGTGCATGGCCCTCAAAGATGGGGAGGCATTTGGCCACGTCCTTTCCAGACGTCTGTGTTCCTCCTGACTGCCCCGCTGCGTCCTGCCTCCTTCCCACGCTTGCTGTGCCTAGCCGCTTTCTAGAACATCCCAGGACCCGTTCACCCCTGTGCACCCGGCCCATGCCACCTGCCCTGGTGTGCCATGTTTCCTCCCCATACCCCCCCCTTGACCCTCATGCCTGTGCCCGCCATCCGCCCCACGGTTCCGAGCCATGAGCACAAGACAGGATAAGCAGACGCCTGCTCAGGATGTGAAACGAAGCAAACCCGTAGGAGACACAGGGAGGGGAGGAAACTCACACACATGCATGAAGCAAATCTATCAGGTGAACTAGAGCTGGGTGCTCTGGAAGTCAGACAAGAGTAGGGAAGTCCTTCTGGGTATGAGTCTATGCCATGTGATCTTGGGGATGGACTTATGCTAAGGCAAGCATCTCTCTCGGAGAGCTGACTCCCATCTGCGTCCTGGGGGACATGGTTTGCAGAGCCACCTGCAGCCCCCACCTCATAGGCCGCAGGGCCCTCGGATGCGGGAGCGGGGAGGGGTCTGACTTCACCCTTCGCCAGGTGTGTGGTTTGCAGACCTTTGCTTTTGCCCCAAGGCTGCTTTCAAATCCCTTTCAAAATCAGCTAGTGCCTTACCCCAGTGATGGAGTAATTTGCATTAAATAGTTCAATGTATTGGGTGATGACATTGGAGGTCCCAACAACATGGCCATGTGTCCCCAAGGAGAGAAAGGAAGGGACGTGTCGGTATTCCTCCAGGAGCTGCCCCGGTGTCCACCTTTCACGGCTGTTCTCCCTCGGGTTCCAGGAGAGCCTGAGATCCGGCCAACCCAACAACGCGGTCGTGTCTGGGGTTCTCACCATCTATGCATGGACAGGTGGCCACAGCAGGGCGTGAAGGCTCCCCGCGCAGGGCTGCCGTGAGGTCCCGTTTATGGTGGTGGTCGGGTGCCCTGGGTTGTGCAGAGTGTGGGAGACAAGGAAACGTTGCGTCCAGTCGAAAGGTAGCAAGCTGGCTTAAAGCCCCCTGTCATGGTGTAGAGGATGTGTGTCCCCTCCCTGGAAGATACTGCACGCCCAGCTATGTGCCCAGGGTATAGTGCACATGCATCACCAACGTCCACCCATTGCCGTGGACTGTGGATTCCACACGGGAGCTTTCTCCCAGCTGGGTGAGGTCAGGGTGGACGTTTGAGGGTGCAGCCCCTACGTCCATGACAGGAACGGGTGTAACCGCGTCATATCCTATGGAGGGCCCTGTGGCCGAGCTCATGATGACGGCGCCTTGGTTTCTGAGCAACAGAACGCCCGCGCCGCAACCCCACCTTGCCTGGATTCGAAGCCATTCCCCATGCCGCCATTAATCCCAGCCGACCGCTCTCCGTCTTTCCGGGCACTAAGTGCATCCGTGTCGGCCATTATGCCCGTGGCCGGGGTCTCATCTGAGCCTCTCGTATGCTAAGTGCCTGTCCTCACGCGTGATGGAAAAGCCAGTGCGGCGTGCAGCACCGGTTAATATATGGAAACACTATTTGTACTAAATCATACCGTTGGGAGCACTTGCAGTCGCTAAGTGGATGCAGGCATTTTAAGATGCACGGGTAGTTTCCGAGACCTGACTTGCCATGGGCACTTTTCCCCGTGGACCGCTCAAGTGCTGAATAAATAAGGCCCTTTTCCGTGGCGGCGTTTGACCGAGCGTCTGTCTCATCCTGGCGATTAACACCCTTCAGAGAGGCCGGCATAATATGCAGATGCCGGAGTGCGCCGGAGCTCACTCTCACCCTGACAGGCATTTACCGTGACACCTATTATATTTACCGACACGCAGAGCTGCTTTTTCATGATAATAGAAGTCTGTAGGCGACGTCCCCCTTCACTGTTGAATATTAACGGATCGAACCGGGGCGCTTTAGGAGGCAGCCGCGGGCACGGTGACTTGCCACCATTCTCCATTTGACCGGGACTCCCAGGGCACCCGGGTGATGGGAGCGAGCCCACCCCTGTGGGGACACGGGGGCCCTGGGGACAGGCAAACGCATGGGTACGGGAGGGCGGTGGTGCCGAACTTGGGAACGGCATGCTGAGTGTTTCCCTTACTCGTTTTGATCTGAAGACTTTTTACAGGTGCAAATGGAAATGCTTTAAAACACACAGATGACCGGCCGCCGAAATAGCTCAGTTGGGAGAGCGTTAGACTGAAGAAAACACACAGATGAGGGGGTGCCCGGGTGCTTCCGTCAGTTGAGCGTCTGCCTTCGGCTCAGCTCCTGATCCCGGGGTCCTGGTATCGAGCCCCATGTCGGGGAGCCTGCGTCTCCCTATCCCTCTGCTGCTCCCCCTGTTTCATGCTCTCTTTCTGAAATAAATAAAAGCTTTAAAACACACACACACAGACAGGCGTGTGATGAGAAGCTCCCCCATATTTCTCTGACCAACCTTAGCCCTCCTCCATGTTTATGGTTCTTTGTGGTTCCTACTCCGTCAGTGCAGACGGTAACCAGGATTCCTGTGTCTATCCTTGCACGTTGTCGATTGTCTTCTTGCATTAAAGGATCACGCAGCACCCCCCTCTCTTCCTTCTGCTTTCCCCAAAACTTTCATTGCTCGGGTGATGTTGTAATGAAACAGGAAATAGGCATCTCGGGTTCCTTTTTGGTTCCTGAACTCCTCTTGGGATGTCTTCAAACACGGGGCTCGGAAGAGCATCTGGGGTTGTTCTTAACATAGTGCTTTCAACGACACCTGAGTTGATGCTAATGAGGTCACACCTGGGGGATGGCGGCTGGCTACTTGAGGAGCCAACAGGTGTTTACAGACTTGAAATTTTCAACCCCACCCTGACCCACCGGGAGTGGGGAGGACAGCATGGATCAATAATCCCCAATGGCCACTGATCTAATCAATCATGCTATGAGCGAGGTCTCCATAAGAACTTGAAGCAAGGGTTCGGAGGAGAGCTCCCAGGCTGGTGAAGTCAAGGAGGTGCCAGAAGGATGGCGTGCCCACAGAGGATACAGAAGCTCCACGTGCCCCCGGCGTGCATCGCTTCCATGTGGCCCTTTCTGAGTTATAACCTTTATAACAAGCAGGTGGACGTCTCTAAAGTGTGGTCCTGAGTTCTGTGCATCATTCCGGCAAATGATGGAGCCTGAGGAGTGGGTCGTGTTCGGAAGCCCCCGTTTGCAGCCAGTCTGTCTGGGGCTCTCGACTGGCAGCCGACCTTGGGGTGCGGGGCCATCTCTCACTATGGAGCCCTCTGTCTGTGGGGTCTATGCTAACGTGGGGCAGTTACCACCCCAACTGAGCGAATGTGTGGGACACCTGCTCAATGTCTACTAAGAAACGAAATGGTGCTTGGTGTAGAAAACCCTCACACCTGCAGTCAGACGTGGTGTGAGCCATTATAGAAATGCTTTGTAGGACCTACTGTGTTGTCCTGGGTTTGTTTTTTAAGGATTCACTTCTCTACTAGTTCACCCTGATTTCAAAATGTCCTCATTTCAAGATATAGCAAGAGCTGTGCGAATGGATGTGCCCATTGATCCGGCAAGGCTACGCCCAGGAGCTCACCAGAAAGAACACAGCAGAACTCTGGGTTCTGAGAGCATCTCGGAAGCCAGGGCGATAGAGAAAAGTTTAGCGATTCCAACCCGCAGCCAGACACCACGGTCCAAGCGTCAGCCCGGTACAGAATCATGTGGATCGTGGAGGCTGTGGTGAGATTCGGCACGAGGGCTCCCCCAGAAAGTGAAACGCAGACCTGCCATAGGGCCCAGCACGTCTGCTCCCATGTGTGTACCCGAGAGCGTGAATGACAGGTGCTCGCACAGAAACTTGCCCTGCTGGGTTCCAAGCGACATCACTCACCATGAAGGTTTAGATTTCACTTGTGTCTGTGTATGAGTGTGTGTGTGTGTCAAGGTCACTGGGCGGGGGGGTACCCAGATACCTGGCTCCACATTATTTCTGGGTGTGCCTCTGAGGGTGCTTCCAGAAGAGGTTAGCGTCTGAACAAAGCAGACCCTTCTCTCTGGTGGGCCTTGTCTAATCAGTTGAAGGCGTGGCCACAACAGAAAGGTGGGGGATGCGAGAATCCTTAATCTCTCTCTCTCTCTCTCTCTCTCTCCCTCTCTCTCTCTCTTTCTTGTTCCTTCTCCCCTGCCCCTGAAGGAGGAGCTCAGACACGGGTCTCCTCCAGCCCTCCCACTGGAGCTGACACAACTGGTCCCCTGGGCTTCCGGCTTCTAGAAGGAATGCAGATCGTGGGACTTCTCAGCCTCCAAAATCATGTGAGCCAATTCCATATAATCTCTCTGTCTCTGTCTCTCTGTCTCTCTGTCTCTCTCTATGTATGTATATATATACATACTTGTTATGTGTATAAAGAATCCACATATTCTATTGTATTCCATGCATATACATATATGTGTGTGCATGTGTTATGTATATATATGCATGTGTTATGTGTATATGTGTCGTGCACAGATATATATGCATGTGTTACATGTATGTGTGTCATGCACAGATATATATGTACGTGTTATGTGTATAAAGAATCCACATATTCTTTTCTATTCCATGCATGTACATATATATCTGTGCATGTGTTATATATATATATATATATATATGCACGTGCTATGGGTACATGTGTCATGCACACATATATACATGTGTTATGTGTATATGCGTCATGCACAGATATATATGCACGTGTTATGCATACACGTGTCATGCACAGACATATATGCACGTGTTCTGCGTATATGTGTTATGCACACACATATATGCACGTGTTATATGTCCATGTGTCATGCACACATATATATGTACATGTTATGTGGATAAAGA